CAGTCTCGCCTCTGGAGGGAGGTCTTGAGATCCGCACACTAATCACACACACGTCTCTGCGACTATTAGACAGCTCATGATTTCGTTTCCTTTTGTTGTGTAGAGGTTTGATGTGAGTTTCCGGAAATGCATCTGATTTCGTTGTATGCAGTTGTGTGAATTGCAAAACCGTGGCCTTGGAAAACGTTGAGTAATTTTTTTAAACAGCCTAGTTTTCTCCTTCTTTTAGCAAACGAAATTCCTTTTAATCATAGACTTTGAGACCTAACAAAAGAATTCCTAATCAATTCATACTCTGTGTTGGGACCCTAGTAGCTTAAAGTCTTGAGAATTTCTGCCTGCAATTACTCATCTTATTTAAAATATATTTTTAAAATGAAAAATTCTAACGAGGAACGTTCTAGGGGAGAGTGACGCGCGCTTTTACGCCCGCAGTAGAGTGTCATTGCAACTAGCTAACTCATAAAAGGAATTAAATGCCTGATGAGGTGGTACAGTGGTGCCAATAAGATGTTAGGCGATCCTTTCGAGGGACACTGTGTGATGCGAAGTCATGAAAATGTGCAGAATTGAAGCTAAACCTGTTAACCTTAGTCTACCAACACCCACTTGCAACATTATGCGGTAGTGGTGGGAATACTGAAAATGTTATCCACGTTAGGTTGTTCGCGTTCATTTGAAGGTTATTAGCCGAAGTAGTCGTGTCACCCTCTGCATCTATTCAAGGCGTATTTTAACGTTACGAAGGCTGTTTCTACTCGTCTAAAGTGAATGCGTAGCAGAGTCCTCTACCTGAGCAGAATGGAGCGGTTGCACACATTGAAAACTCCCATGGCATCCACAATTCAATGTAGCAAGCTCCCCATTTGGAGTTCCCTTAACGATCCTCCGATCCACTCAATGAGGAGGAGGGTTAGGCCAAACCATGCTCACTGAAAACTTTAATGGGTGTGGATACAGATTCCGTGGAGTAGGAGTTATAAATTCACTTCCGCTCCAGGGTAAACCTGAGTGTTTGAAACAACATTACGAGTACACAGAACTGATAGTAACGGTTGCTGTACCATGCACTGAATCGTTTTATATAAAAGTGAGTTGAAGTACAGTAACTGGGACAATTTAGCTTGGGTTTGAAAGATCTGAACTTCAACTTTAGTAAATGTGGGACAGATAATATCACCATTGTCAAATAAGTAAATCGCTAATGGGATAGCTCCACTCATTTTGGGTTTTTTTTTAACCCTAATTACCAGATGAATGCTAGGAATTAATTCGGCATAGTTGGAGCATTTCAAAATTTGGTGCTGGAACTAATTATGCATATTCAGCCAAGAAGGAAGGGCACTCAGGGGACTTAAACCAATGTCGAAAATAAAAAAAACAAAGTATTACCCTTGGACCATATAAATGCAACCTACATTAAGGAAGACTACCAGAATTCATCATTGGTACACGAGAGAATCTAGTTTAATTTAGAGACTGCTGTTAGACCAATTTTACTAGTAAAATACTCGGATATTTTACAGTAGAGGCAACTTTTTTGCTTTGTTTCTGGTGCCGGGTGAGGGCATTTTGGAGGCCGTATCGCTCCGCTCTAGTTGGCTATGCTTTAAGAAATTGCAAAAACCAAATCCCTTTTCTTTTCTGATTTTAAGTGTATCAACTTTCAAATGAGATCCCATAATGCCGAATGGAAAGTTTGATGCTTCGGTTTACCAGTTGTGCAAAAGGTCTTCCTATGTATTATTTGTTATACTTCAGGCAAGATGGCCCTGGGATGTGCTAGGAGTCCTGTAAGAGTGACGACTTCTTTGGTGGTTATTGGTGTCCCTTTGTGGGTGGGTGACATTTGTGTGGGGTTAAAGTTCCATTTCTACTTTTTAACCCGAATATGGGCACTTAGTCAATTCTAATGCTTTCTATTATCAGATTTGAGGCCTTGGGTAGCTAAGATGGGAGATTTCCGCGCATTCTAGACTATTGTTATAATCTGTCCTCGTGGAATTTTCAAATGGTACAATCCTAGTTGTTTACTTTACTGTAGATCTTTTGTATCTAAAATCCTCCTACTCACCCAGAAACCATAATTAAATATTAAACTATTTCGAAGCCACCATTGTGGCTTTTTACACGCGTATTTAGCCTTGCGTCGACGACCTTTATGTCCACTTCCGCGATGTCGATGTAATAGCTGTAGCGGAGACTGTTAAGTATGCTTATTGTTGGCTTGACAGGTGGTATTGCGACCGGTAAATCGACTGTATCAGACATATTAAAGGAGAAGAATGTTGCTGTTATTGATGCCGATGCAATATCAAGAGATCGTAAGCATTTCATGTGCACGTTATGGCTTGGTAGTTGTTGACCACGATAGACAAGTACAGAGAGGTATCCTCAAGGCTTTTGGACCTGCAGTTTTTAATGAGGACGGAACTCGTGTGGAAAGAGATAAGCTAGGGGAAATCGTTTTCGCTGACCCTGAAAAACGGAAGGCTCTCAATAGGATCGTGCACCCTGTTGTGTTCAGACGTATTGCTGTTCAGATTCTACGCAATTTCTTCTCAGGACAGGCCATTGTCATTCTTGATATACCATTGCTGTTTGAAACTCGAACAATGTTGTGGTTTATATCGGATATAATCGTCGTTTCTTGGTATGTTAAACATTGCCTCATTATATGCTTTTTTTTGCTGTTCAATACTCTTTTCACAATTTATAACCAACTCAGCCATTCTCCCAACTATTTGTGAATTTGTATGTACCTCTATAAAGGGAAGTGATTTTTTCTTGCTCATGAACGAAGTCGAATCTACACCCCTAATGCTCCCATATGCCTTTCTTCCAACGTCCGGCGCATAACGTGATGTAGATTTACAAATTTTGAACTTCTGCAGTTTTGTGTTCTTCTTGGTCAAAACTACCTTTCCAAACTTCAGGACCACCAAGTTTATGGATAATTGAAACTTTTCACTGCTAACTTAGGCATGTCTAATGTCTATCCTTCTTCCCGTTGCGAAATAAGTGAGGGCAGGTTTTTTACGTGTACAAAAGGGATGAGTGGCAAGTGGGTGGGTTTCAAGCCTTATTGTAGTGCTGGCGCATGTGGCATCCATTTGTTTAGCTTTGGTTTTAAGCAGACTATCTTGCCATTCATGTTTCGTTACATCATTGAAAGTGCTTTCAATTTGGTAGATGGTTGATTTACTCAGCGGTGGGGATGGGGGCCTCCCACATGCATTTCGGCTGCCCTATGTATTAAAAACGCTAATTACTTCTGGAGATGCATCCAGACATTATTTGCCGCACTCTCTACAGGTTCAGCACAAGTTAATTAACTGGATTGAACTTGGTTTCTCCCGCTGACAGGTTTGGATCACATTCATGAGGTTTATGCTGTGGAACTCATATTATAGCAGGGTCTAAAATTTGCGCAACGTGCTCAAAATGACCTATTTAGATGCAAGCTTAATAATGCACATGGAAAATCGCATATTGTAAGATTCCCTTTTCAAGCGGTTGTTACTTAGCTTAATTTTACATGATCCGAAGTGGTCGATGAGGGATGAAGTTGTGCCATTTTTGTCAGCCATATGTGTCAGTTCTGCTGTGTGATCACACTATGTCCATGATCACGTACTGAAACAAATTTAGAAAACCTATGCGCTTGTCATTTCTCCCCCTACCAATGGTTCGTTGTGCACTTATCTAGCACAAAGTCTGCCGAAAATAAGGCCAAATTGATGGGTGTGTTGTGGCTCCGTGAAGTCTTATTTTTTTTCATTTTCTTTCCAAATTGCTTTTTTTGTGTATTTTTTAGCTATCCTAACTCTGGTTTATCAGATAAGCGAATTGTGCTTCTGATCATTCCAGTTTCCTACGCAGAACACATGAATAGGATGAATTTGTGACTCAAGCCTATCTTCCTATAATACCCAACACCTTTGTCCATCTCAAAAGGCATTTGTAGCACTAAATAGGGCTCTCAATTATAAATGGCCTGGAAACTTATTACTTTAGAAGCACTGCTCTTCGATTTTGATAACTTCTTTGAAGAAAAAAGATGAGCAATTAATGAAACAAACTCACACGTTAATCTTTCCCCAAATTTAAGTGAGGTCTTATCAGCCACCCTTCTGCGGGCACTTCTGTGTCTGCTCTAGCAGAAGCCAAAATAATCGGAATGCAATGGACAATTTAATAAGCTTGGTGAATAACATCTTCTTTGCACCCTGGTTCCATTCTAGGAATACGGATGGACTGAATGAATTAGGAGTTCGTGAATGCTTATTTATCCAAAAAACTCCATCTTCCTCATCTACCCACTGATTCAAATCACATACAGATAATCTTTTAAGGTTTAAATTTCCAATCCATTTTCTGCATGCTCCTCACCGTTAAAGCTTGGCGTCCAGGTGAACCGAATGAGGAGGTTCCCATCTCAAACCTTTTTCTGACTATTTCTTGCCTTTTAAAAGGAGTTGGCCCAACTATTAATTCGGTAGCATGATTGATAGTAACTTACTTATTTACGAAGTTATTACTTTCTCCTTATAGTAGTCATTTTGATGGGAATGGGGATGGATTTGTCGAAGCAGTTAAAGACTACTCATAATTTATCCCACATTCATTTTATTTTTTGAAACCACGTGATTGCTGGCCTTTATTATGTCTAACGCTTCTCAACTTCACACGAGCTCCAGTTCAAATAAGGTGCCTAAGTGCAGTAGGTAGTGGACTTCGCCTTTTTAACCATCACATGGTTTGATTTGTTTTAGCCCAGCAGAAGCTCTCATTTAAAGCCATTCCCTCTACCTTATTAGTATTTTATTTGTGGTGTTTAAATTTGTAACCTTGGGACTGAGTTAACGATTGGCCATCCCCTCTAGCTCCCCCGAAGTTCAACTTTCCCGTCTCCTGAAGCGCAATCCTGATCTCTCTCGCGACGCTGCGCTTGCCAGAATTGCTGCGCAGATGCCCCTAGCAAACAAAGTTGCACGTGCTACCATCGTAGTAGACAACGAGGCAGATGGAAACTTTGCCAGTCTGGCTGAACAAATTGATACCTGTTTGGAGATGTTGCAACGAAAAGCAGTTGGACGCTTTCGGCTGATGGTGGCACTGTGTACTTGCGCTTTGGTTGGACTTGCTGTGATTGTGCATCACTTTGTATTTCCATGAGTGATTGTTCACTCTTATAGTCGCTTTTTCCTTTTGAGATTCGGTCGTTATGGCACTCGTCATGATCAGTTGACAGAGTTGTTGTTGTTTCCTGGGTCGGCTCCTGAGCCTTCCGCCAATTCGAATTCCGCTAATGAGCAGACTCAGAGTAGAAGCTGTTTCCGGCTGGGTGTGAATGCGGCGCTACCCACGACTCTGAAGGGACCAGATGAGAGGCGGTTTTGCGGCTTTTAGGAGTCCAGTAGCTAGTAGTCTGGAGTGTGGCTCGGCTACCGATTCTGCATCGGTGGGGTCGAAGCTAAAATCTCTCGGATAGGTGACTAACACGATTCCAGAAGCATAGTGGAAGGAAATGTGGGAGTTAATAACCGTAGATAACACTTTTTTGCAAATAAATTAGGTAGCATCCAATATTTTGCATTAAGTGAAGATTGGAATAATGTTTGCTTATACATAGCATGTGCAATACCGCGCCATTTGGAGGCAAAATACCGACCAATTAAATTTGCAGATGTCTCTGGGAGATTGATATTGTTTGTTTGCTCCTAAATCGTTAGTTTTCTTAAGTCCATTGGCCTTGGTTATGGTATTTTGGGTATCTTGTTTAGTGCCATTTAATTTTTCATTGAATCCCTGCGTACTTCACCAGCCGCCTTAACTACGTAAACGTGTGTGACACTTTGCCGCCTTTTAAGATGTTATGGTGCTATCCTCCAATTTTTACAATAGGTGGTAAGGACTCTCAGCAATCATTTGTTGAAATTTTTCTGAATTGAATCTGTGAAGTTAGTTGTTTTGAGTGCACTCCTATTCTGAGTCTCCTATTTGCATTTTATATTGAAAGTGATATCCTTTTTTAGATAACATATGGACCCCATTTTCGTAAGTCATTTTTTTGTTTACTTGAGTTCTTGGCTTGCTGGCTAACATCTAGTTTTACCATCTGAGCTAGCGATTGTATACAAGCTTTCATATTTTGTCTTTGATCACGCTGTGACGATTCGCATGAGGGGACTTCGTCTGGACGAAAATACCATTGATTTGTAGGGGTATAAGCAATACCAGATTGTGTGTCTCGCGGCATTGGTGATGTCGATATGTCTTGAATTTCTTGACGTTAAGTTTCATGGAAATGCTAAAAACGTTGGAGGGCGAACCATACAGTGGCAACTGAATAAAGACGTCTAAGTTGGATACACTGTCTTTGTCTTAATTAGAAAAGGTTATCTCTCATCCTACTCTACTATTTTTCGCAGGACCAACGTTTTCTATTCTTCTTTCTTCTAGTCAGTAACAGAGCTGTCAGATGTAGAACTGCATGAACTTCGCAAAACTGATGCCTGGCTCCCCTCAGAGGCGACACGTCAGTGCCTGCTGGGGAGTGGTAACTGCGGTTTAGCGTCTACCACTCCACGCCTTCTTGCTCCACCTTCCCCGATCGATACAGCCGATCCGATTCGCCGATTACTTGTCAATCGGTACCGATCTGATGCGCGTGCTGATAATATTCGTCCCATTATTACCGCTGATTTGGTTTCACAGGACTGTGATGGTCTCGTTGAGCTTATCGTATGCTCGTCATTTTCTTATTTTACTTCCTTAAATTTGTTTACAATAGTAACTGTTGAGCTTGAGTCTTCTAGCACAGCTACTAGTATCATACTAGCAGTATAATAAAACCAAGGTGCTTTTGAAAGCTTCGATCGGGCTTCAACCCAAAAACCCCTTGCATTTAGCTAGGATGACACTGACCTCATGCATTCTAATGCACCGATATTATTTCTGGGAACCACTATGATGAACTTGAAGACTGATGGTTTTTATTGCCTTTTGCTGTCACATTGGTTGGAATCTAACAGATACTTTTAGTTTCTTTCTCTATGGGAAATATATTGCATGATCCTTTGGTTTTCGGAAGAAAATTACATTGGGAAGTATATTTTGAATTGAATTCTATCATTAACCAAGGTGCCCGTTAAAATACACAGGATTTGGAATGAATGTGCCTCCCTTCCTTTCCAATTTATGAGACTTCTAGGTCGACCTACAAAAGCGCCACCGTTGGTACTGGTTTGCTATTTAAAGTCGAACAAAATCATTTCAGGGATCTGGTTTAAATTGCGAATGCTAGGCGAGCGATTGTGGTCAGGGAGATTTCTGTAGTTTACGTTTCTTTTTGTCACATTCTCTCCGCACGTTATTTCACTTATGTAATTCCAGAAGTCAAAGTTTAAATTACTTTATCTCCGTATCGCGTCAACTTACTTCTGTTGGACAACAACAGTGGTTCTCGTATTTTGGTTTACTTTTTAACTTTTGATGCACTTTTAACTGCTCCAAGTCACTCGCTTTCAGTATATTTTTTAATTCTTCAGAAGGGTCGATGGTATAATGCCGCCTTGGATTTAACAGGTCGTCTTCTAAATATTTGTGGTTTCGCCTCTGATACTGGGGCCACGTTGACTCCATTTTCATCTCAACTCTGGCTGGTGCGTTTTGTGCTTTTGAAACAGACCCAACAATTTGACCTGTTGGAGCGCGAATTGGCAGCCTTTGATAGGCTGGACAATCCTGACATCTACTTCGAACATGCACCTAACCTTTATCCCCGTCGTAAAGGTATATTTTAAATAGAACTCTAGTCTAGGGTCAGCGGCTGCCATTCATTACTTTGTCTGTGTCTGTAGGCTCAATGATCCCCTTCTCGATGCGACTACTTCACGCAGAATTACCGCATTATTTGAATCGATCAGGAGAGGCTCTTGATCGTCTCTACTTCCTCGCTGCCGTCGTAGCTCGAGTAAGTTTGTTCCCCTCGGTATTGACACTTGGTAGATGATTAGCAATCTTGAAAATGGCTATACTGAGGACGGAAGTGAGAGCTACCCAGACGAAGCATACAAGTACAGTGAGTGTTTTCAGAAATATGATTTAAACACAATGTCTGTTGCTTTGTCATAAGTAGCTGTGCTTTTTAGGCTCATTGGTAATATGGCGACATAGGGAGAGCAAAATACTGGCCATATGCCTGTCAATCTATCTTGCTACTCGCGATTACCCCTCTGCCATAGAAACGGTTTATCAAATGATAGATAAATTAAAACCATTGGGAGAACACAGGTTCCTGTTCGGGACTTTGGGGCGCATATATCTGGAGGTATGGCAGTAACGCATTGTAAGTGGTCATACTTCCTTGGCATCTTAGCGTATTAATCTGTGCTCCTGTCATAACTTAGATTGGAGATGTTGATTCAGCCGAGGAAATGTTCAAAGAGGCCTTGAAAGATGCTCCTTCGGACCTGATTTCGACAAGGATTCAATGGCTCATGTATAGGTGCGCCGTTTTATCCTTAATTTGTTCAAAGCCGCTTCATATCGCTTGGCACCCATTTTTGAGGAACTCATGGTCTGAATTGGCCAAATATTTTCTTCATCCTTAGCGCTATGCTTCAGATCGGCAACGGCCATTTCGATGCAGCTAAAAGGCTATTTCGTGAGGTGTTGGAATTGGATCCATCAAATGTTGCAGTGAGTGCACAAACTTCAAAATTTTTTAAATGATTTTTGGAGTTTCTTTCGCTTTACTTTTCAAATGGTTGACTATTTTTACGCCTTGGATTTTCACTGCATTCTCTTTGGCTGCCAGAAATTCACTTTTTGGAGCAGTTTCTTGGCAATTCATTCTGGTAGAGTTGTTGGCAACTTTTGATGCAAACGCATGATCGTTCGACCTGTGGGCTCTTGCACGTGTGGTGCAGTCGGCATGGCCTTGAAAGACAATATCGTCCGTATGCGGCAGAAATATTCCAATGACCTAATAGTTCTCCAAGCTTCCATTTCCCAGTTAAAATCAGTTCCTTGACTTTGTGCGAATGTTGGTTTAGACATGTTCATGCCCAATTATATAGCTTTCGATGTCACATTCATATTGGTGATATGCAAGCAAACTATGCAACGTAGAAGTGAGTTAGCATCCGCATGATCATTTTATTATCCACCTGCTGCATGGAAAATTGCTAATAAATACCGTACGCTCTCGATTGAGATGAGGTATTTGCCGCCGTTTATTTGCGTTGTTTGCAGGCCGCCAACAACCAGGCTGTGTGTTCTCACTATATTGGTCAGATGGACGAGAGTCTGCGTATTCTAGAAACCCTGACGACACCGACGCAATATCAGCTAAAAAACCAGCCAGATCTGGCGGCAGGCGGAAAGCCGCCACAGTCATTGGTGGAGGGACCGGTGCTACACGAAGCTATAGTATCGAATCTGTCGACTCTCCTTGATGCTGAATCGGACCTGGCGACCACCCGCAAAATGAGCCTTCTTGAACGCGTTGCTATGGTGTCAGGTGATCGCGTCCCTCCAAGCGCGTTTAAGCTTAAATTTGTTTAAGATTATCTACTCTTATTCTTTCCTTATCCTACTGCGTGCTACACTGCTTCTTTTCTCGCATATTTAGGCTAGGCCTGCTCTTTTACTTTAACTCCTTCCATTGAGGAAGAGTGTTGAGATAGGATTCGATCCAAATGGACACGTTTATCATCATTATTATAAAAGGTCTTTCTGTGATATTCTATCAATCGCTGTACATTTTTAGCCCTTTCACTTTGATGTTTGGTTTGCAGTGTCGAAAGTACTATGAAAGATACCACCTATCTATTTGTACAGAAAGACACTAGCTTATTTTGTCTTTTCCAGGCTTAGTATGATAGGAAAGATGGTCTCTCAGGTTCGTTTCTTAGTATATTAGCTGTCGTACTGCCTCCAGCGTGACATTCTAGTTCCAATTTCGTCCAGCACATTCTCTAGTTTAACGAAACTAGCTGCTTGTCGCCACATTAACAGTATTGCAAGATGCAATTGATAAAGCTTTGTGAGGTAAATTTTCACAGACACCTCATGTACTTTATTTGGATGGATATTTGCATTAGGCGGCGCTTTGCACACAGACTGCTAATTATTTCTTATTTTTGATCATTGGATGATGGGAGTTAGAGGCTGTGATCACAAGACTGTGAACCCTTCTTCAAGCTCAGCGATGTAATTGCTTAACATGGAGGTACGATACCGACAGGCACAGAGCGCATTCCATGATCAGAAGCGTGCTAAAATCTTACTGAGTAGGGAGTGCTTCATTCATGCACCTCGCAAAGATTCTGTCTTCGATGCTTGAAGTAGACGTCTCTTAGAATCTCCAGTGGCTCATCACAATCGAATACCTGTAGGAGAAATTCATCTGCCTTTTAGCCTCCCAACATCGCATCCCTACGCTTCTGACATGCACAACACATCCCTACTGCATCACATTTGGTTCATAGACGAGATGTCCAAATTGGAATGGAATGCATAACTTTCAAAAGAGGTGGGTGTTGGAAGAAAACTGAACACTTGATGAGAGTCCTGATTGTTTGCAGTTTTTCTGCTTCTCATTCCTTGTCACCCATGGGTCCATCTTTTCATATCAAAAGGTCACAAACCTGACCTTCCTTTGGGAGCTTTGTGCTGCCATCGTAAACAAAACGCAACCCAGCAGATGACAGGTCTGAAGATAATCTGATACGACAGGCAGTGATAAAGTTAGGTCCTTGTTAAAAGGAATTTTTTAGTATATAAAAATGCAAATGAATTTGGGAAAAACGCATAAGCAAAACGTTACCTGTTGCACCCTGATGAGTGCTAAGTTGCAAATTTTGGTTGTGCATTGGCAGCAGAGAAGAATGGGACGTCTGACTAAAGTCCACCTGGCGTAGCATTAGGAAACTGGAACAATCTGACCACGGCCGATCGGCGATCCGTTCGGAGAAGGCGCCAAGGTGGTGATGCGGAAAGTAAAACTCGGTTTTTTTTACCAGATCTTACCAATGATTGGTCTCTTATTGTGGTCACGTTTTCCGATCCTATCAGTACAACCCTTAGAAAGTAACTCCTAGACTTTGCCTACAAAAGAAGGCTGAAACACCAATCGTAAGAGCTATCGGAAGCCTCTGAGTCTTCATCGAATGGTATGGGACTAAGACAGACAAGGTTTCCTTAAATTTTTTGGAGCTAGCAATAAGTGGTAAATACAGGCAAATTTGAACACCAAATAGTTATCCTCAAAGAACTTCGGTACAAAAAGCTTCCAGTCCGCAAACCTCTGTCCATGAGTAAGTGACCAGAGCTAATCATTCAACTACAAGCATCTTCCTTTAGAATGCACAGTTGGTCATTTGGGAACTTGTGCTGAAGATTGCGGTAAAAGCTAGTGGTAGGAATGACAACAAAACAGAGCCGAGCAGGCGGTACTTCATCTGTCACCAGCCATTCTCTTGAAAAGTAATATTTTTTGGGAAACATCACGGGTGCGGGTTTATAGCAGTACTCGAGGGATGTAGAGCTTCTTCGACAAACACTTGTCTTCGGAACGACGGAAAAAGGATTTTAAAATAGAGAAACATCTGATTCATCACACTTCCAAGCCTCCATGCTTCCGGGATTGAGACCTTAACTACTGCGGTGACAAAGCAAGTGTAGCACATCGGCGATGCTCGGCACTTCTCACCTTCGGAGCATAAAAGGATACATTCTTTTGCCAAGCAAAACAATCGAAGACCATGAAGAACCATTTCACTAATTCAGAGAAGGGCGCAGTTTAGGTTTTGTCTCATCTACAGACTGCCATTAGCCAAGCAGCATGCTTACATTACCTTTGCAAAATGAAACGGTCTGTGTATTTTGGAACTAATAAAGACATTTGTGAAATTTCGATATGGGCTGAGGCTAGGGGAAGGCGAAAAATTGGTGTCAAAATTATTAATCAAAACTCATAAATAAGCTACGCGGAGGTGTTACTTCAGCCACGGATAGGGCTCACCTACAGTTTAAGGAGCCTTCCTGACTGCCTGCCTTCGGTTTTGCTTGATTACTCTGAATCCTTTTATTGCTTCAAATCGGCCAACGCATTTCGTACTGCTCACCAGATGAAAACAATGTCTACATTTGTAATAGCCTGAAAAGTGGTGGCCAGCGTTTCAGCAAGCGAACACCTCATTGAAGATGGGCATGGAGGTGACCTCACCTTCGCGCCGTCAAAATGCAAACGCCTTCATCACTGAATGCCGGTGTAGGTGGACACCACCGATGCGACTATACGAACCAACTCCGTCATCAGCAGCTTTCACTGCAATCTCCTGTCCAACCTGTCAACTGTCATTGAATGACTAACTTGAAAAGCTTTGAGGTACAGAGTAGGGGATGAGGCTCTCACTTTACACTGAAGTAAATGGCGCAGAATCTTTTGATGTTTTTTTTTTAGCCGACACATTAGAGACAACCCCGTGCTTTAGCATCCGTCGATCCCGATGTCATTATTTTTGTCACTCTGGAATAAAGTCGTGATGCTATTCGGTCCTCCTCCTCCTCCTCCTCCTCCTCCTCCTCCTCCTCCGTAAGTAATCCCTAAAGTTAACTTACATCGCAGTGTGGTGGGAACAGCACAGGTTTCATCAGATGAACGGAACGTGCATAGCAAAGACGTCAAGAGTAAAATAAAATTTGGCAGAAGAGAGAAAGAAGGGGAGGCGTTTCCACGACTCACATACTGGCACAACAGATTATTTGAGTTGTCAGAACTTCCAAAGATTTGTCGCAATCAATCTTTGATTTGGAAAAAAGAGATGATAACGATGGTGAACTGCAACCGTATTCTATTACGACAGAGGTGCCTCAACTCCTCCGAATGTCAACACCAAAGCCACCTTTAGATTTGCACGCATTACGATTGGACTAGGAGGAACTTTTGACAAGCACTGTCGTCATTCAGAATAATGGGTAGAGGAAGGCCAGATTTAAAACACACTGTGAAACTATTTGGGTTGCTTTATGTTAATTTTACACATTTCCTCCAGTAGTCATTGGCGACATAGGACTGCAGGAGCTCAGGTTTTATTTTATTTTTGCTACTTAACATTAGATTGTGTTGTTGTTTTTTAACTGATCCAGGGAATAACGAGAAGTGTGTCGCATTTACGAACTTTGGAATGGCCAACAGACCACTTATATGCTTTGTTATTGGCTTTCCGATGCACTTCGCAGGTGCTGGACTCCTCATTAGGCGGACATTAGGAGAAGACGGTCGTGGTCCAGAAAAGGCGTGAGCACAAGGTCCGACCAGTCCATACGGGTTGAGGTCACCAATAGTTTCTGAACCTACCAAAAGGATAAATGTTAGGGATGATGGCGCGAGTAAGTGCTTCTACTCGAACAAAAGTAAAAGTCACTCGACAAATGAAAAAGGGACTTGTCATGGGGGTATGACAGTTGATTCGTGCGAAGGATTGGTGACACCGTGTTTGTTCCACTTTGGGAAACAAAAAAATGGTTTGGCACTTTGATAAGATAGTTGGAAAGAAAAGACGGAAGAGTCCCATCATGACACTGAGAACACGTTGTCTTAATGGACGGTCCAGGCCATGAGACAATTGTTAAAATATCTGGCACAGAGGAGATTCAAGAGTGATTAAATAATTGCAATTTTCCAAAATGCATTTAAAGGAGCCTAACGGGGTGCCAATGAATTAATTTGTAATGTAAACAAGGAAATATAATTTCTCGCACTATAAATAACTCTCCATGAGTTGATGGCAAGAGGGCACTTTTGAATGTACGGAAATGGCTTTGTCGAAATCGTCGCCTAGGCGGGCTCAAAGGCCTTCAAAGTGGGGACTGAAGCAAACCACCCCGGAGGCGTCTTGCACAGGAATGGGAGGAAGACGTGTGTGGTGCAGACAATTGTAGACGCCAACTACATATACAACTCCACACAGCTGAAAGGCGATCCCTGCAGAAGAATTTCAGACAAGGGTCGGCAAAAGGAGCACAGAGCATGAGATGGGAATTTAGTGCGTAATTGTCCAACCAGGTCGATGGTTGTTTTGCTCTAACAGCTTCATTTTTTGATTCCGTCGATCGGAAGAAGTGAAGAAACACACTACGATTATAAAAAGGGAGAATATTTTGTGAAGGATTTCCAAAATGCTAATGACGTCTAGCGAAAATTGAATGCGTCAATGAGATCAAACTGAAAAAAATAAGTATATACAAGTCGCAGTGCTAAAATTTACCAAAATTCCTACATCCTCAACAGCTAACTGAGGGCTGGAGTAGGAGAAAGGAATTCTCATGTGCATCTGACCTAGGGAAATTTGCTGAGGAGGGGGCGAACAAATTTACCAACACCCTTATGCATTGCCAGCAATGCAACGCTCCGCACTTTTCTGGCAGGTTGGGACCACAGTCTCAACGTCAATTTTGGCTTCGAGCCGCTGGAACGACCGGATACCGCACTGTCGCAGAGAAGCACGGCGACGGTGCCTCATCGGAGCCGGAAGGTGGCCAAGCAATTCACTAACTTATTTTAGCTATCGTTAGCAGTGTGTTGATGTTAAGTTAATAGCTTCTAGATCTCTCTAACCTCTCCATTACTCTTCCCTTACACCTTAGTCAAAAATATCCCATCGGATGCAGTGTTTAACATTTGATTCTGTAGTCCGCCTTTTATATAAATTGCAGCGATGTGTTAGCAGTCTGTTCACAAGTTTCTAGCTCGCTTGTATTAGTTTCCCTCCAAGTTAATCAATGTTGTTATTTTAACTCTCTAACGCCACATAGTCTATTGAGTTTTTTGGCAATGGACTCATTCGTCGGGGCCTCCTCATTCCCGTCTACTCAAGCCTGATAGACTGCTGCGTTTACCATTACCTTCCTCTGTTTGCGATCCGGCTGAGATCCATGAATTATGAGCAACAGCAAATGCGCTAAGTGGTGGACAAGGTTCAACTACTTTCAAACCCCCTCCTCACCTTGTTTGAACTTTGAATGGTAGGCAGGTGACAGCTTGTGCTTGGAGCTCCGCCACCCTTTTCCAAACGCCTACCAGTGTCGCTCGTAGGACCCTGTTGCCTGCGACTCAGTTCAGAGGAAAAGAAAGGCAGGAAACAGGAGTCTAGTGCATTTATGTTGCATCGCGCGAGAGTCAGTAACGGAGCATTACATGGTTTTTATAATTAACGTCCTGTAAATAGTGCTTAGCGAAGCCAAATCAACCTTACAGGGAAAGGGGAACGGTTGCACGCCATTGGCAACCAGACAATCTTATCAATCCACCAGTGAAGTGGCAGAGAGCTTATGCACTAAGGAGATTTTGATGACATCTGAGCATCATCAACAACACTAACAAGTATTGCTTGGAAAAGACGAGACGGTGATGCAGTGAACCGGCCTTATGCAAAGCGAGTGACAAGTCCAGTGGCTCACTAAGGAGTCAGTTGAGGAGACAATTGTCTGTCTCCGCTCTTGCCCTTGCGCCTTTTAAAACCCCCTTCTTCATTACACCTCTTCATGCATAGCACTTAAATTAAGTCTTTTTGTCCACTCAAATTGCGCCTATGCCATTTTGCTCGGCAGAGGTTGTGCCTGAATTTCTAAGCAAAACGAGCCTTTACGAGCATTACTATTATTGCCCGCCTTTCCTTTAGGGTTTATATGAGATAAAAACTGCTTGCATTTGCAGCAAGAAATCCTTTTACTAAGGCAGCCATTACGTTTACACTAAATTGTGCCTTCCATGACAAAGTGAGATGGAAGGATCGAAAATTACAATACCTGAAAGAAGTGCCAAAGTGACAATGGTCTAAACAAAAGGGCAACGAAAACATGTTAGGATTCAAGTTGACCATGTCACAGAGGGAGGACGTTGAGACTGAAATCCAATTGCCAAGGCGGTTAACTGGCATTTATAGGCATAAAATTATACCACAAAACCATTTCCAGTCGTCACTTATTTTCCGTTTTATCCCAAATCTTATGTTTAATCCCAACCACAATGTTAACGACGATTTCACAAGACCTAACGGCACAAGTTTTGAGTGGAAAACCACTCTCAAGACCTCCTCCTTGTGATCACAAAAATAGTTCTCATGCCGTGAATTTCGAAAGCATGCATGTTTACCATGCATTGAATAATTGTAGCCGAGTGAACAACCTCCGCTCTGCATTGCGACGAAATCCGCGGACCCATAAACGATCAACCATCCACCCTGCCCAAACTCAGCAGCTTACGAAAGAAATGAGCACAACAATTTACTAAGAATTAGCACAGAGAGGATTACATGGACACAAGGTGTAAAAAAGGCCACCTATAATAAAGTCAGAAACGAAGAAGGGAGAGAAAAATCCACAGCTTCAAACGGGAACACCACAAAGCACCTGTCTTCGATGCTTGAAGTAGACGTCTCTTAGAATCTCCAGTGGCTCATCACAATCGAATACCTGTAGGAGAAATTCATCTGCCTTTTAGCCTCCCAACATCGCATCCCTACGCTTCTGACGTGCACAACACACATCCCTACTGCATCACATTTGGTTCATAGACGAGATGTCCAAATTGGAATGGAATCATAACTTTGAAAAAGTGGCGAAATTTCACTTCCCACCTGATCTTGCGGCGTGTCGACAAACAAACCACTTCCTTCATCAAGGCGCACACGTCTTGTGTGACCCATCCAGCAGTGAATTGCGTAGGACACCGCCCAACTGTAGCTGCACAACGGCAACACACTGTGCAAGCAACACTACAGCAAGATTGCTGTCACCAGCGACGACTACATTTGTGCACGAACGAGTGACAAAATGCGAACATACACTGCACTCTACGTCTTGCGTGTCTCCACATGAGGAGGGGAAGAGGACGGACGAGATGGAAGAAAATTGAGCAGGCACACGAAATGAGGGGTATCACTAAATGCGCCGATGAAACGAGGTGACGAAACGCCATCTTCCGCATTGACTGTACCCACGGCCGCGCTCCCCTTCCTTACACATGCACACACACACATACGAACCATTTTTGCAACACTGTCATTTAACTGGCAGCCATGTTACCGAGGTCACGAGGGCAATAGTTGATCAATGCGAAATGACATACGAGACATGGAGCCGAATGGAACGGTGGCACGAATAGAATGTCGTGGAATGGACCTGCACATTGAGCCATTACAAACCAGCCGAAACCATGGTGCGCCTTTTAAAATGGGCCTACTTTGATCCACTTCACTTTGTGATTATGGTAACATACCATTACAGGGGCGCCGACACGGTCTTTTTTGCTCCCCAAAAGCCAATCCTCGTGGAGGTCGTGCAGTTGTTTCAAATATTCCTACAAGAAAATAAAAAGTAGTTTGTGCCTGCATCTATCACACACCTGGATGCAGTTAAGTTTTTGTTTGACAAAATTTAAACTGAACCACACACACTGGGACGAAACGAAAACAGCAAATACGATTGTGGTCTAAACAGGTCATGGTCAGCAAAGTAAGCCACCCAACTCGTAAATAAGGGAGGTGTAAGCCGCAGCTAACCAGTAAAGCAGTTGTGATTTAACCTTGATACAAAAGTATGCACTTGGTACACTCACCAACTAATGCAGCATCTTTGCGGTGCTACGCTCTCTCAGAGAGGAAGACGGAGTGCTACTGCTGTTAACCTGTGGTGAGTCAAACGTATGCCATGGCCATGAGCCTTATAATGGTGCCATATTTTAAAAACAAGGACTCCAACCATTCAGAGGTGCCAGAAATAAAGGCGAATCAATTTACGACCTCGACAATGACATTTGGCTAGATCCTCAACTACTGCACGACTGAATGCCAGATGCTACACGTAAACAACTGACAAGGAGTAGTCATATCAGTAAGCCAAGATTATTTTTATCATTTGTTTGCCTTTTAAAACACGATCTCCGTGCAAGTAGGAAAACAATGACAAGCAATGAATGCACTCGCAGTTGCATAATCACCTAAAGAATTGGCTCTTTTCGAGGTGTAACTTTGACACCAAGACACGTGCCTAGCGAAGGGATCAACACCGAAACTAAATTGATGGACTGGCAAAATGAAAACGATGGTGGTGAAATGAATGAGTGAATGAATACATTTACTGGGCGATTTCGGGCCACGAGTTAGTTACAAACGGAGGTGCTTCAAGGAACAAATGGCATTGAAGCAACACATCTCGAGGCATTGCAAAGCGAGTATTCTTTAATTCAAAGCTAAAAATTCACTAAGTGATAACAAGCTCATTCCAAACAACGAAACGTTAACTGATTCTTCTTAAAATTTTGCCATTATGAGTCATATGTGATGCACTAATTGTCCCCTATTTGATGCCTTTCCAATGTCACTAAGGTTCAATCTTTGGACACTTACCACTTGGAGATTCTTAATACAACCGTTTTCAAACAAGTACGTTCCTTTCAAAACGCACTGTCAACATATTTAAGAGTGTAGACGAAACTAAAATCTGCACACAAGACCCTACGAGCCTAAAATTCAATCTAGATTGAAGAAAAGGCACACAAGACATAGGTCATTAGGTCACACATGCGTTTATACCAATAACAGGCGCTCGTGATGACAGAATACCATAAACTTGACTTCAAAATGGGTCAGTTGGGACTGGAACAAAGCAAAAGTCAGTGATGTGATTAAGCTTATTCCACAATTTACAGATGACGAGTTGGCAAAACTTGGAATCTATTACATTGGGGCACACAGTATCACAAAACCAATTATGTTAGCCAATGGTGAAAAAAAAATGAACCCTTTTATGCGCCTGATAAAAAGGGTAAATGTAAAAGAATGCACATTAGGTGCTGGACCGAATAGCTCACATTAATGCCAAAACTGCAGGCTCTAAATAGTCAATAGCAATTAAGAGCAATACTATTTCGAAATGGGGGGAGAAGATGTCCATGTTGGCTAAAACCAAAAGCATTTGCGACTACACGCAAAAAGATATGAAACGAAAATATCACGCGAAGGTATCAAGTGTCCACCTTCCACATTTACAAGACAACTGACAGATGATCACCTCAGATAATTTTTCCAGACACAAACGCAAAGGACGCCCAATACAGAAAATAGTCATTTTTTAAACACTGAGGACAGGGCTTACCATTGAGATAGCACTTTCACCCTTGCGGTCTCGCTTCCGTATCCGATCAGCGCAGACCTCGGGCGAACACCGAAGATAGACTATAAAGTTGAAGGAAAGTAATATAAAGAGTGTCTGTAAAAGCAGCATGTTAAGTGGTACGAAATTTCGCACCAATAAGGTCAAGTTGGCTGGTGGGAAAACTCATGCACCAGTCGTAGAATTCATCGAAAACTCCCAAATCTTCATCGGATAATTGCCGACTAAAATGAAAATATATAGACCGTAGTCGTAAATAATAATACTCACGCGGCATTTAAAATAAGGAGTAGTTTTTAAAATGGATTGCGAGCATTTACTTTCTGTTCATAGCCTCAATAAAGCAGTGTCGGCAACTGTGAAATGAGCGTTCTAGCAGTCGCACTGGAGCGGTCTATACATAAAAACACAGAATAATTAGGCAGACAGACAGAATACCACCTGTTCTTCAGCTTGCCTTTTGAAAAATGTAACCATAACCTGACTATGGAAAGGGGTAGTCCACCTGCTTGGATTCTTGTAAAATGCTTCCTAGAAGCAATTCAAGGAACGTTCACAACATTACAAAGAGCTTGAAGCCTTTCACGTCATTCCAAAGAACTATGGGTTCGAGAGAAACTTGGATTTTGGGTGAGAGCCCCTTGAAATAATTTAAAAATGTAGACTTTCCACAGCCGATGTTTCCCTCTACGGCAACATTAAAAGTTCTAAAACAAAAATGGCCTTTTTTGACGCGAACGAACCTGCTTATCTCCATGATGGCCTGGCTGCAAAAATACAAATTTTAAAGTGAGCGCAGCATAAGCCCCTGCACAAGCTGCCCATGTTCAAGGTTGATAAAGATCGATGTTACATAATAAAACACACATGCCTGATTTACAAAGTAAAACAATTTATAAATATAGATAAGTAACTTGACGGCATGCAGAAACTGACGTGTTAGGCTGGAGACTTCGTCGATGGTGACCTTTTAAAATAATATAGATCATTTTATGAGGATCTGTTCCTACGTTAACAAAAGCAAAATATTTTATCTTACATGAATCCTTCTTAGAATAAGCTTCAGCTTACGTATCCACAAGGCCCACTGTAGCGTCTTGACACTTATAGCTGGGCAGAAGAGGGCTAACAGGGTGAACCGAAGGATTGAGCCTTAGCTTAGCCCGAGGACAAGCCCACACGTACAAGAACCAGACATCAAGTGGTCATATTAACAAAGTATTCCACATATCTGTAGTGTCCCAAGACCCCTTGGCCGGTTTAAGAGGTCGGTAAGTGCAGCTGGGTACAGGCATTCTGAAAAAAACAGGGCAAATGGCATGGGTGGAAGGCCTGCTCACGTGTACAAGGGTCAGACTGTAGTAACCGCCTGTCTACCATCTGGTCCCTGGTCCTTAGACTTCAAGAGGTTGTTGGTTGCAGACACTTCATTAGGCATCGCTATTAGCAAGGATGGGAATGTGATACAGATGAGATGGGTTGGAGATATAAATCAGTGACGAGTGAGTTGATGGATGGAGGAGGTGGTAGCGGTGTGCAAGGGGAAAGTTGAAGCAGAA